TCTTCTGCATTTTCGAGTGAACCAACGACGACGACGCAGCACCAGCACCAGAAGCAGCATTTGCATTTCTATCGAAGTGCATCTTCAAGTGCCGAGAGTTCGCCTTGGCGTTGAACACTGTTTCTATCTTTACCCTGAGAAAAAGCTTTCTCTCTCTCTCTCTCTCTTTCTCTCTTTCTTTCTTTCTTTTTTTTGCTCATTTGAGCTGGAAACGATCCCACCAACGTGCAACGAAGACACTATTTCCCGTTTTACTTTAATTCCCTAAATATCTTATGAATTTACATTCCCCCTTTATGAATACCCCTCGGTTGTTGTCGTCATCTTGATTTACGAGACAGGATAAAAAAAAGGTTGGATGATGATATTAGAAAGAAAGAAAGAAAGAAAGAGAGAGAAAGAGAAATATATGGGGGTTAGGGGAGCGGGAGTTTAGAAATATAAAGAAAATTACACGGTGAAAGTTATTTCAAACGAAGAAATATAAAAAGGGAAAAAATGAAAGTTGGAGTTTTAAACATTTTAAAGAAAATTTGTTTACGATGGAAATTATTTCGAATTAAGATAAAAAAGAAACGTAGGAGAAAAATAATAAGAGTAAGAGAGGGATTAGAATTTCAAAAAAATTACACGACGAAAGTTATTAATAATAAAACGTAAGAAGAGAAAGATAAAGAGAGTAGTATATAGAATGGAAAAATAAAAAACAACAACGGTAGAAATTTAAATGAAGAGAGAGAGAGAGAGATAAAGAGATAGGGACAGGAAGAAACGGTAAAGGAAAGAGAAAGGAAAAAAAGAAAAGAAGAAGAGAACAAGCTAAATAGAACTTGAAAGAAAGTTTTTCAAAAGACGCGAATGATTAACTATCGAAAAAAAGAGAGAGAGGAATAATATGAAACTGTATAAAATAATTAAATAATAATACGGAGCACAAGAGAAGAAGAGAAGAGAAAAAAATTTCGCTGTTAAATGTGATTAATAAACGAGCAGAAGAGAAAATAAATAAAAAGAAGTTTGCTATCTAACGAAAGAAATAAGAAAGAAAGAAAGAAAGAAAGAAGAAATAAAAAAAAAGAAAATGAACGAACCAGCAGGCAGATATTCGGGGGTTACTACTTCGTTTTCGTATGAATCCGGGTATACCTATCCCTCTCTCACTAAACTACGATGAAAATTAGGGGTTGCAAGGAAAGTCTCCCCTTTTCGAAAGGACCCTGACAGACTGTTTCAGTGGGGGAGAACCGAAACGTAATTTGCAATGCCTTCGATGATGCCTACTTCTCCTAATGTCTGTCCTCCGATGTGAGTTACCGAAGCTTCTTTTAGTGTCTTCCGTGAAATTGTATCATGAGTTATGGGGTTGGAGGGTGAGTGGGAGGGTCCGAATCGTAATCTCAAAAACGAAATATTAAATATTCAATCCAATTTATTTTTAGCTTTTTTTTACTCTTTTGTTACATTAAGACCAAAAAAAAAAAAACAAAGCATCTTTCGATCTTTAATAAATTTTATATACTTTTTTCTTTTCTTCTTTTTTACAATTAAATGCAGATAAACAATATTACTTTAATATAATAATATATTAGTGTAATAATAATAATACAATATTTATAATTACATTTTTTTTTATATATAAAATCAATTTTTTGAAAAGAAAATTAGATTAAATTAAATGTAGAAATCTTAATTAAATATTTAACACGCAAAATAAAGGAATAAATAATTTGGATAAATACGTTGAAATATCAATATAATTGTTTCTTAATCCTAAATCGATAGATATCTAATTAAATTTAATATCGATACTAATGATATAGAGAAAGAGAAATAAAAGAAACAAAAAAATGAATGATTTAAAAGAGACAGGTACGTAAATACCTAAATACAGCCCTGAATTGAGATAATGTCCAATCGCCCCTAAAACGCTACCGAATGGATGTAGGGAAAGACGAGGGAAAGGAAGTAGAGGGCGGAGGACGAGAATTGTGAGGGTGAAGGGCGTAGTCACGAAATCAGGCTTTACGTGTTCATTCGAAGACGATATTTCGAGGAACCATTCTCTCTACAATCTTTCCTGATAAATATAACCCAAGTTACCGAAGTTTAAACGCTAACTAAAACCTAACACCCGTATAAATATACGTGTATTTACAGATTTATTCTTTTGCAAAGGATTAATAATACATTTTTTAAATTGAACATTTAATTTTTCATCCTGTATATAATAATAATTATCATAGTAAATAATTATATAATAATTATATAATAATTATTATCATTAAAACACCAAAACACGAGTATAAACGTTCTACACCGAATAGCCAAATGAATTATTACAAAAACATATAAAATAATCCCATAGTAATGTAATATAAGTAACGTGGGTGGATTTCCTTTTATTTTTCCAATATATATATAGTTATTGTTATTTCAAAAAATAAATAAATAAATTTAATATAATATTTACGAGCACGACTTTTTTTTTAAGAATTTCTAAAATATTATTTCATTATTTACAATTTTGATTTAACATTAAATCATAATTATTCGGACATGGCACGTGCCCTTAAAAAAAATACTTACGGTATCGTATGTAAGAGTAAATCAAAAAATATATATTCGTGTATAATTCTATTTTTTATTATATTATAATAAAAGAATATTAAAAAAAGAAAGTAGAAACCTAAAACTTCTTTTGCGATAAGAATCTAATGCAAGAGAAAAAACATTTTCTTTGGTCTCTCTCTCTCTCTTAATCCTTTCGAGATACACTTTACTTCTGTGTAAACATAGAGAAGAGAGAAACCGATCAACAAGAAACGTTTCTACGGAAAACTCTTGCAATATTAAATGTTTATGTTAGCTTAGCGCGTTTAATTCACTCTTCTCTCTTAAAACAATATAAATAAATAAATATATATATCTAATATAAAAAAGAAGTAACAAATAATAAAATAAATATCAGACGAGATAAAGTTTTACGAAAAGAAAAGCAAAAGAAAAATAACGATATACCATCACAACCCTTAACCCCAGCCCACCCCCTTTTCTCTCACCCGTTCTATCTCCGTCTCCTTTTTTTTTTTCATTTATGTCTCCTCTCTCTCTCTCTCTCTCTCTCTCTATCTATCTATCTCTCTCTTTCTTTTTTTTAATGTATTTTTATGGAAAAATGGATGAAACTCTTTTGGTAAAAACGATCGTTGCTCGAATGGTTCGTTAAAGTGTCGACGGCCGAGGTAGGAAAAAGAAATTTTAATTCCTCTTTGTCCATCGTTACGACAAAACGTCGCCATTGTTCGTCACACGAAAGCACCATCGGGATACGGAGTTATATGCAAGAGAAAGAGAGAGAGAGAGAGAGAGAGAAAACTACCGTGAGATATCGACCGACTCGTCGGGCGCGTATATCCGTTCTATGTGTTTTCATATATGACGGTGTTAGTGTAAGTTAGGGTTGATCCTGAAAGTGTTTGTGATTACCCATACGTACATACGTAATACAGTATCCCTACAGACATAGTTTCTATGGGGGTACCAGTGATGGTTGATGGGTGAGGGTGGAGGTGGGGTTGCCCATATCCAAATCGACCCTTCAACGTCCTTATTCCGTTCGATATCACTACGTTTATATATATATGTATATATGGTGTGTGTGTGTGTGTTACAATAGATTTAAATGTATGTATGTGTGTATTCGAGAAAAGTCCCTCCAGCTGTTTAATTAAAAACTTTGCTCTCGATGCTACGAATACGATGTTCGGATTCTAGCATCTTCCCTTATTACATTATAGTTTATTTTTTGTTTGTTTGTTTGTTTTATTTTGTTTTATTTTATTTCATTTGATTTGATTTGATTTGATTTTGTTTTCCACTTTTCATATTTATCATACGCAAGATGAATGGGAATTCTTACTTTCTTATTCGTAATTTCTACTCGAGTTATACTTTTTTATTCTTTTTTTTTTCTTTTTTTTTTTCTGATTCGACATCGTTGAATAATCTCTCGTGTATACGTGCGTGATAACGTAAGGTCTAGGGTAAACCGCGATTAAAGTGACTTATCACTCGAGTACACAGGATAATCGTAAGCTTTTAATAACGTTGGAAATTGCACGGAAAACTTGTTCATAAATCCTTGAAAGAGAGTCAAACTATTCTCTTACTTTCTATCTACCTCTCTCTCTTTCTCTTTATTTTTCGGTGAATACAATTTATGGGAAGTGTAATCATTTATTTCAAAGATTCGCATAGATTATATTTTTTCTCTTTCGTAAATTCCAATTGGAAAACAGTCAGAACGGTAGCCGTTCTTGTTAATAAGAAACGTCGAAGGTAATTTCGCGTTAAAATAATAGCAGCAGATGGGATTACATACTCGAGCGTGTTTTATCTTTCCAACTGGAAGATTAACTGCTTTTCTACCTGTATACATAAAAATAAAAAATAACTTTTTTATAACGCGATATATATTTATTATTATATATATCTTTATATCGACAAGTTAGTGACCATCTTTACCGACGCGTAAGAAAGGTTGCCGTTTTTCAGGGGCTTGGAGGGCAAACAATAATATTCACGATGAGGGGACGAAGACGACGACGACGACGATACGATTAATTAATAATTTTCTTCTTCCGGTGTATTTCCGAGAAATAATAATGATAGGAAATAAAGAGGGATGAGCGGGGAGGGTGGGAGGTATAAAATGGGGACAAGAGGAAGGGGGTAAGAAAGACAAAGAAAAGACGTTAAAAATAATTCTTTGAAAAATATGATATGGCAGAGATAGTGATAATGCGTTATTATCGAGTCCTATAGTTATTTTTCACGCTCGAACGATGTTGAGTGACAACCGGACATTAACATGCGACCTGCATCCTGCGATCGACCTCCATACCGATTCATTCCGCACGATACATTGACGATCGCGATCGAATGACGATAATCGTATCTCTGATTCGTTTCTCTTTATTTTTTTTTTCTTTCAATCGTAGGTGGTATAGTAGGACCCAGTGTATTCGCACAAACCAACACGCACGTAACTCACCCACGTACGTAAGTACGTTACAGGATGGACAACAGGTGGAGGAGAATTATTTGAGAAAAAGGAACGAAGAAGAAATGAAGAAACATTTGACGCGAAGAATCCTTACTACGTTCGAATGTTGTAACGAGTGAAATAGGTAGAGAAGGTCAGGCAGGAAAGTTTAAACAAAATGGGCAAGTGTTGTAGCAAACGACAGGAGCCTCAACCGATCGGTAAGTTTTTTTTTTTATTATTTTTTATTATTATGATGACGAGAATGCGATCACAAAAACGATATATTTAAACGAAAAATTGATTGATTTATTTTTTATTTGGATTTTACTTATAACCCCAGGGTACACGAAAGCAGATACAGGATTGAGCTCGAAACACAGCAATGGTGGTTCCTTGGACCGATACACAGCCGACCCAAATCAAAGAGGCGTGCAAGCCAGGGCGGATATTATCCGTCCAAGGCCAACACCTTGTAAGATACAGATACCGCAACAACCACGTAAAACAAGCTCGCCTGTCGTTATGCCTGCATGTGTGTATTATTTTTTGGTTTATGTTCCTCCTAATCTTCGTTTAAAAACTTAATTTATATTTTATAGTAGATCGATACCAGTTGTCTTCTTTCTTTGACTTTTTCTTTTATTTCTTTATATCCTTTTTAATTCAACTTTACGTTGTCCCGCTAATGCGATAGGTTGGCTCTATTATAAAGAGTGACGATGTGTTTTAACGCGTTTGAAAAAAAGAAAAAAAGAAAAGAAAAAAGCAGAAAAAAATCTTTCTCCCGATATTTAATTATCTTTTCGATTAACAGCTCATTCTCAACGAGCAAACAAAATCGTCGTGGCACTTTACAATTACACGGCACGCGAGAGCACCGACGTGAGTTTCGTCAAGGGCGACAGAATGGAAGTTTTGGATGATACCGAGCCAGACTGGTGGAAGGTTTTACATTTAACGACCCTGCAGGAAGGTTTAATTCCATGGAATTTCGTAGCGGTTGAACGTTCCGTTGAAAGCGAAGAGTAAGTAATCGTTACGATAATGTTTCCTCGTGTTTAAAATATCTTCTCATATAAGTTTAATGAACCGATCAGTAACTATTATAAATCACGTTTACAGTTGGTTCTTTGAAAATGTATCGCGTAAAGAAGCAGGAAAATTATTATTGGTCGATGAAAATCCGCGAGGTACGTTTTTGGTAAGACCAAGCGAACACAATCCAAGGGGTTACAGTTTATCCGTAAAAGATTGGGAAGAAGGGAGGGGTCATCACGTAAAACATTATAAGATCAAACCGTTAGATAATGGTGGTTTCTTTATCGCCACCAATCAGACATTCCCAACGTTGCCAGCTTTGGTTATGGCGTATAGCAGTGAGTATATAATCACTTAGGTAAACTTGATAATGTCGTGATCATTATTAGATAACTAATTAACTCGTTTTGTTTCATCATATGCAGAAAACGCGTTAGGTCTTTGTCACGTGTTATCGAAGCCCTGTCCGAAGCCCCAGCCAGATATGTGGGATCTCGGGCCAGAATTGCGTGACAAATGGGAGATCAACAGGAATGAGATTCAGTTGATAAGAAAATTGGGCCACGGCAACTTCGGCGAGGTTTATTACGGCAAATGGCGGAATAAAATCGAAGTGGCGGTTAAAACGCTTCGTCCTGGTACAATGTCGACGGAAGCTTTCCTTCAAGAAGCTGCAATAATGAAACAATTTCGACACAGACACTTGGTAGCCCTTTACGCGGTATGCTCGAAAGAAGAACCAATTTACATCGTCCAAGAGTATATGTGTAACGGGAGTCTTTTAGACTTCTTACGTACCGGTGACGGCAAATACATGCAATTCGAGGATCTGATTTACATAGCCGCTCAAGTTGCTTCCGGCATGGAACACTTAGAAAGCAAACAATTGATACACAGAGATCTAGCCGCTAGGAACGTTCTCATTGGCGAAAAGAACAAGGCTAAAATTTGCGATTTTGGACTCGCCAGAGTTATCGAGGACGACGAATATTGTCCTAAACAGGGAAGCAGATTCCCGGTTAAGTGGACAGCTCCTGAAGCTATTGTTTATGCAAGGTTTAGCATCAAGAGCGACGTTTGGTCCTATGGTATTTTACTTATGGAGTTATTCACTTACGGACAAGTTCCTTATCCCGGTAAGATAACAACCCTTCCCCATCCTTAATCCAATCATTAACTCAAACTTTATATAATGAAAGTCATTATTTTTCTTTTAGGTATGCACGGTCGTGAAGTAATCGAGCATGTTGATAAAGGTTACCGTATGCCCAAACCATTGAACCATCCATTACCGGACAGTATATATCGATTAATGTTACTGTGCTGGGAAGCCAGTCCCGAAAAACGGCCGACCTTCGAGTTCCTTAATCATTATTTCGAATCGTTTAACGTAACTAGTGAAATACCTTATCTCGAGCCACCGACGGACTGATACACAGCCCACATGCAGAATCACATGGTGCCGCATGGTCATTTTCATCCAGCGCACGTCAATTGTGCCATGGAATTTTATGGTATTTATTGCTAAGGGGAACTAAAATAAATGAAAAAGAGGGGAAAAAACGGAAGCAAAAAAAAAACGGCGATAACCACAAGTGGAATCGTTTTATAATATATTATATCGTTGTGATGATCGTTAGAAGAAAACTGAAGAAATTAAACGAAAGAAAAGAAAAGAAAAGAAAAGAAAAGGAAAAAAAAAAAGAAAAAACAAAGAACAGAGCGAAATTCCGAATAACCGAGAGATGAAGGAAATAAGTAATATGATCAATTGAAAAATAGTTTACGATTATTAATGTGTGTTGTGTCTCTTGATGACAATAGAGAGAGAAAAAAAGAAAAAAAAAGGGGAAAAAAAACGGGGGACGATTAATTACGGTGATTGATTGATTTTATATGAAACACGCGCGATTATATTCTCTCTACGATAGAAAATAATAATACTCTCTCTCGATCGACGAAAATAAAAGAAAAACCTTTTGTGCCATGAACTTTATCCAATCTCATAGGTATTTATTTATCGAAGTTAACAAGATGAAAAAAAGGGCAACAAGACTTTTTAACATTTTTCTGACCAATCTCGCGAATAATAACTGCCGATAAATTTTTGTCAACGTCCTCTTACACTTGGAAGACAAAAAAATATAAGAGAACAAAATCGACGTGGAGAAAGAGATAAAGAAAAAAAAAAAAAGAAGAAGAAGAATACAAAAATTAAATCGTAATAACAATTAAAAAAAAAAAAAAAAAAACGTACCAAAATTTGAATTTAAGCTTTGCGACCAATTGTGAATAACTGCCGGATTTTTGAACCTGATGTGTTACCGCGACGGAAAACAAAAAAAAAAAAAGAAGAACAATAAAAATAAAACGGAGAATATAAAATTTGTCTAGTATATATATATATATATATATATTATATATCATACATAGTATCCCGATTAAATCGTTCGTTAAACGTTTTCACAATTTCGAGAAATATTAAGTGAACAATGTTTTATCGAAATTATTAATAGTATTAATTAAGGGTGTGTAGAGCAGTGTAGCGTTGATACGAATTGAAAAGTAGTTATTAGGTAGTATTTAAAAGTCATAGATTGTATAATCATATTTTAGTCCGTTAGATTATTATTGATTACGAATGGACAAAGAAGGAAAGAGAGAACAATACGTAATAATAATATTAATAATAATAATTATAATAATAATAATAATAATAATAATAATAATAATAATAATGTTTGTCATTGATCTCCGATCATAGTCGAGTTTTCCTAATGAAAAGAAATGTATCGACGATATCCTCGAAAAATTTTCGTAGATTATTAATTATTAATCAACTGTTATATGTCGAATATCATCACGAATGCACAAAAATGATGTGTTTAAACGGGGCTAGTGACAAAGAATAATTTACGCGACTAGGGAATGTGACTGGATACTTTGAACGTGGTACACGTCATACTTAAGCTTCTTCTTTGTTTGTTTTTTCTTTTTCTTTTTTTTTTTTTTCTTTGATGCATAATACATTCATATCATCTGATATATATATATATGTGTGTGTATGTATGTATTATGTAATTAAATCCAGTATTCGTACGATTATTTTTAGCTGTGATTTTTCCCCGAGTCGCGGATATATAAATAACAAAATAGAAGGTGAAAAAAAAAAAAACGAAATATCTAAAGAAATGGAAGACCAACAAAACGGTGGCGTATAAATAAGCACGGCTAATTTCTTTTCTAATTTACTTTAAGCAAATTATTTAATGCGCGACTTGCAATAGCTGCGATATCTCGATAGAAACGATTTATGTAATTTACTTGGTGCAAGATTGTTTTCCTTATTTTTTTTTTTTTTTTTTATTCTTTAAATTTTTGCACTTCTCGCGAAATATCGTTGATCACGATGTGTACGGCAATAGAGATTAGCGTTTTCTTAGTTTAATAATAATAATACGAAAGAACGATAAAGTGTGAGAGAGAATTGAAAAAAAGTTACTAATATTGGTATAAGAAGCCAGAGTATGCGAGCGTGTGTTTGTTCCGTAAAAAAAGAAACTTTATATTATCTTCTCGCGTACATGCGTGCATATGTGTGTGTGTGTGTGTGTGTGTGTGTAAGCGTACGTTTGCGAATATTTGTATGTGCGAATTGCGTATAAAAGGAATTCTATTAAAAAATAGAACGCAAGATATAATAAGCCATCGATGTTATTCGTACAAAATGTTTGTATGAACGAGTGAGAGAGAAAGAGAGAGAGAGAAAGAATTGTACATTTTTTTACTAAAGATACATACAAACGACAGTTAAAAATTAATACGTAGATATACCTTTTAAAAGAGGTAGGAACGTTTAAAAAAAAAAAAGAAGAAAAAAAATATATAATAATAATAATAATAATAATAATAATAATTAAACGCGATAGATATTCGAATATCTCGTGTGAAAACTCGATGCGTCGTTTAAACAAAAAAATCTATGTACGTATAAAAACGTTTTCTTTTTTTCTTAGTTATTATTCGTGTAGAAAAATACATGCACATATATATTAAATAATATGTGCGTATTTTGAAAGAAGAAGGGAGGAAGGAAAGGAGGAGATAGGGTGTCAGATATTTCGTCTATTTCGTCGTCGTCCCATGCGAAATGTCGTATCGTTAGGATTAAGTCTATGGATATAAATCATTAGTTTATCGAAATTTCGTTGTAAAGAAATTGAAAAAGAAAAAGAGAGAGAGAGAGAGAGAGAGAGAGAGAGAGAGAGAGAGAGAGAGAGAGAGAGAAAGAGAAAAAAAAATAAATAATAATTGTGTTACGCGTGTCCAAACTAAATATTTTTCACGAGCATATTATATTTACTGCAGAATTTGTCGATTGGCGCGACATTTGACACGAGAACAAATTTAAAAACGAAAAAATATATGTAAGCGGTGATATGCGCGTTAAAAATGATGTCACGTAACGTTTTTTGTAGCTTTAGATAGCTATTACCAACGTCCAGTAAAACATTTTTCTATGAACGTTTTATACTGATCAAAATGTTGTTGTTTTTCTCGTGAGGTATAGAAAATGAAAGAAAAAAAAATGAATAAAGGATAATCATTTGAAAGTTTTCAACGACGATCGAGGGTCGCCGTAGTAGTTTGTAGAAATAGTTTTATGCAAGTTCGATTCCATATAATAATGGATTTAAAGAAGAAGATAAAGAAAGATACAGATTGCGAGAAACAAATGATTTCATTGATACCGAATACATTGGTTGATACCGGAGAGAGATTTTCTAATTCAGGGGTTGAAGTGGTGGTTCCGACAATTAATGGAACCGTTAATTACACGGTTTTGACTGTAATTGTAATGAGAATTGAACAAGATATTATAATTACAATGGATATAATAGTATTCAATCATATCTATTTCAGTTTCGGTACTTTAGAACCAATATTACATCGATTACGTATCGCTTCTCTGTAATAGAATTTAATTATAACAGATACACCATCTGAAAATAAATTATGGGAACCAATATGGAATCGACATAAAATCGAACTCGATATAGACACACACACACACACACACAAAATCATTATCTCCAGAGTATTTATAACATTTTATTCGATTCTCATAAATATTTGAAAAATCAAAACCAATATCATAATTGTTTTCAACCCCTGATTGTTAATTTCATTAGTTTGATAGGTTCTTTTTTCTTCTAACTTTAAACTCTTGCAAAAGCATCACGTGATAGACGTACTCTCGTTTCTTCGTTAAAGAATATAAATCATATTATCAAGGACAAACGAATACGCCAACGTTTCCACTGCCATTCTGTAATTAAAGGAATCAAACGTTACGGCGGCAATTCATTCTATATTGTGTGTACTTACCGAAAAACAATAATATTATGGAAATAACGTAGCCCTGTGCTCTCTTGATGTATAATCGTGATACGATCTCAATTTGACAAATTCCTATATATTCCTCTATGATCATTTAAACACATAAATATCATCTCGCCGTTGCCCCGTTCAAATGAAATCTTGATAAATCTGTGATATAGTGGCAGACCTCACGTTTTGATACAGAGTTTGAACATTGCACGGGATTACTGCGACATTATTATACGTTATTACGTTATGTATATATATATATATATATATGGTAGCAAGTTTAAACGGTTGATTATTCGGTCGCGATAACATGCACTTCTGGACAAGAATAATGATGATAACATTTAATAACAATAACGCAATTGAATAGTCTCGTCACGTGGTGCGTGCACAGAATAGAAGAAATATTTTTTCATTGTATTCGAATGTTTCTAACGTAAACGGCGCCACGTCAATACGATTCACCGCTATCCTCCGAGATAAAAGAATCTGTATACGTATAACGTCATCATTTTTTATGTACCAAAGCTTATTATTATTAAGTAATTTAATGATTACTTTGTATTATTGGATTAATTACCTTAAGCCTATGCAGATAAATATATTATGTACCATATTACATTCTATCAAGATATTTTTTCTCCTTGGGCCCATCTTTTAAAAATCTGATTATTCAACGATAATTCATTATTTTTGGTAATTGATAGAAAAAGGGTATATAGGTAAAAAAATTTATGAGAATTTTTCATTTGCATAACGTTTTGATCCCAGGAAATTTATTCTAAGACCAATAATTTACCTCGAAATACAAAAAATTCTTAAATAATGATTTTATCTATACAATTGAAATGGAACATAGGAAAACATATAATAGAAATAAACACAAAAAGATCAAATAACAACATGCATACTTATCATCGTAATATGTGCAAACAACTTCCCATTAAAGATAATAATGAAAATAAGACAAACAAATATAGAATAAAATGATAAAGGAAATAACTCGTGATTGTTTTCCGCTCTTTCTTTTTTTTTTTTTTTAACATCGAATAAGCTTTATAAATTATGTAGCCTTTTATTATTAGATATAATTTAGGTATCAAATTAAAATTTTGTCACAAGAAATGCGCATTTTTGGTTAAATGTACATCATTTCTGCCATGTGAGACATTTTCTTTGGAATATGAACAAACTCTTCAAAATAGCTAGCAAGTTCATCTATAGTAACGTCACAGGAAGGTGTTGATATACGCGCTTGTATGGAGCAAGTATTTGTATTTGGAGATTGGCCGGATACAGTAATTGCGTCAAGTTGGATACCTCCGCCGGGACCAGGACTCCTTTCTAAACTTGGCATTGTATTACTGCGAGCGCGTTGAAAACTTCCACCTTGATAATTATCTAGAATACTAGTATCGTCTTTAGCTTGTCTAGAGTCCTGACTAATATTTAACGCCTTAAAGTCCTTAGTGACAGAACCGTGACCAAAAGTTTTACAATTCCTACCAGGAATACTGTATCTGCAGGTCTGCTTAAATAAAGTATCCGTTATATTATCACTTAAACAATCAGAATCAATAGAATTTAATTGCAAAACAGCCTCTTTGATGATAGAGTTCTTTTTTGTTTTATCCTGAAGTCTTTCATTCTTAGAAGGTTTAAAGTTCGTTGTACTTTTTACACCCCGGGTAATTGTCGTGGATGGCACTGATCTGTTAGGCATCGATTTTCTTCTAAACAAGTAGCTGCAATCCGGGCTTGTGCTCTTGCCTCTTCTTTGAAAAGGATTGGTCGATTTCAAATTGTCTGTAGAAGCGATGCTGAAACAGAAATCATACAGATAACGCTTTATCATTCGGTTTGTAGGAGGAATCTATTACTCTTCGAATGAATAACAAGCAGTATATTAAAGAGAGTATACACTCTATTATTGATTAAATAAAAATCACAAAAAACACTTGGTAATTAATAATAAAAAGAAAGAACAAATATTCTGAGCTAGTTAACGGATGAGTCATCGCTTTTGACTGAAAGCCTTGAAACTGCTTGTATCATTAAACGCCTGCTTTCTCGCGGATTATGCAATCCGAACAAAAGTAAAATACATCTCGCAATACATTGATCACGTTCGAACATTATTATGCGTGTTTTCTTTCCGTCTCTCTCTTTCTTTAAAACAGTTACGTTAATTTTCTCGAGGTACAATACACTTTTCTATTATTTTGCGTATCAAGTATACAAACGTACATTCGTAGGAATAATATAAAGTAGATTTATAATTTGTTAAATGAAAGACCTTGACCGAGAATAGGCTACGAAGAGAACGATATAGAGAAAGAGAAAGAGAAAGAGAGAGAATAAGTGTAAAGAAACTCCACCGAGTAAGACGAAAGTCAACTGCTGTAGATGTAAGAGTTGGAAAGGACACGATATAATATATCGAAAAGGAATACTCACTGGGGACAACTAGTCGAGAGTCGATCGATTTCGAGCTTCTCCAAACTCGCCGGCAGAACTTCGTCAGCCATTATCAAGATTTTGAACGCCCGTGGACTCAGTGAACGCGGAAACATGGCATCGTGCCGGATAATTGCGGCGGAGGGCCACCGTGTATGTTGGCAAACAAACCTTGACAGTTCTTAGGAAAATTCCAGAACACTAAGGTACGGCGCTACTGCGCGTCACTTTTAAGAGAGGTTAGAGTTATCCTTCCAAATACACAAAGGTTGGATGATGCAGCGTACGTATGCGTAAACGAGAAACTATCATCAACCAACAACAACCAACCACCAAGAAAATATTATTTCCATTAGTATTTTTAAATCTTTTATTATTTCTTCTTTCTTATTCTAATAAATTGTATGGTTCATTATCAATTATGATCAATCAACGAAGATGTTCACTTTCCCGCTCAACTCGATTTACTTTACGGTACTTTGCGATCAATCAATCGTAGACAGCACGTAAATAAACACGGTTTTGCGCGCAGCTGCCATTTTCTTGGTACTATTTGCAACGGGAGATGACGATCTAGATGGCGCTGCGCGTACTACTCTTCCATTAGCGCGCTTTTCAAAATTTCACGAACGTTCCTACGTTATTAGAAAGTCATCGTTTGCGATTAAAATCAAACTTTTTGACGTTTGATAATTATAGAATATGTTATATCTGTATGATAGATTCGATGAAATTGCTGTCATTAGTCTCTTATGATTATTTTCTTTTTATTATATTAACATAAACAAAAATTTATTTAAATTATTTGATTTTTTAATGTTTTTTAATTATACCTATTTAACTTGTAAAAGTTCGTTATTTTATTACTTACGAATAATGTTAATAATTCGAGGAAAATATAAAAAAAAAAGCTAACAAGCTTAAATATATTATAAAATTTGAAATGAACGTATGGTATAGTATTCACGCATCCGCGTAGCAGCAAGTCGAGCAGGCGTTCGCTATCGGTTCAAAAATCTGATGATTCAGTCGTCGAGGCTAACGAGAGCTGACGCACTCAGGATGGAGCTTTATTTTAGCATACGGACAAAATATTTACGAATTCCGAGAGAAAGACGAAAGGCACTTTGAGAAGTAGCAATGTCTGCTACGTAAATCCAAATGAAACTTTGAGAATAAACCGAGAGTATGTGTGTGTGTGTGTGTGTATCAATTGTGAAGATATTTCAATAAATTAAAAGAAATTTCTAACGTAATCGTTTAATCGTACATTTATGAAACTAACTGTTGGTGGAAATGATCGAGTACATAAGATAGATACACATATACATCTACATAAACATGATTAATAACGTTTAGTCGATATAAATTTTTTACAGCCGTAAAGAGACAGTAGAACTAACGGACCGATCGTAAAATTGTTCTTGAAATTTGCCAGCTAAAAAGCAAGCTAGCAAGCAAGTAAGTAAGCAAGCAAGCAAGCAAGCACGGCGTTTTCCTGTTTAAACGTTTCAAATCCAATTTTGGAAACGGTCCAGAGACGTTTGCGGTGCGTCAGCTTTCGTTACCGTCCCATTACTGTGCCAGAGAAAGAGAAACAAAGTATATAATACGCATACGTTGCTCTCGCATATCAATGCAACATGCTGTTCGCAAATCTTCTTGCCATCTGGAAAAGGATTACATGCCTCTAGACTCAATTTTATATATATTATTTCCGAAACTTCTGTTTTACCTCTTGATTTGTAAAGAAAATAAATTTTAAATGTTCTGCTTTTCATTTCATTTATTTTCATTCAAATAATTTCCATTAGAGAAGAATAATTAGCCCCGTTTTTTTTGTTTTCAACTATTCTTTTAATTCTATTCTTATTTAATGGAATTATTTGATTTCAAGCAGGATTCTCTCTATTCGCATAAAGATTTAAAAGTAATTCTTAATGAAAGAATCTTGTTACTTTTATCAAACCTACCTGTACTTTTATTCCCTTATTATTTTGTTCTTTGTATATACACATTCTCTTATTATACATATATAACATGATATTTATTACTTTAATAATAGTAATAATATATAATAATAAGGATTAAAAAAAGAAAGTAAAAAGGATTCTATTATTCAATATATTTTCGCATAGGAATATATATTATATTTAAATTATCGAAAGAAGGTAGAACCTTTCAAATATTCTCATATATAAATCAGCAACAATAAGAAAAATAAAAATAATTAAAATAATGGTCGAGCTCACGCACCGGTTTCACTTAACTTGCGAGTTTCATGATCGATAGTCGCATTCTGGAGATGAACCATAAGACACCTACTTGTACAAACATATATATATATATATATAGATATGCATATGAACGTGTCTGGGAAAACGAAGAAAAGAGAGAACGCTTTGCTGAGTGTTTCAAAGACTATTATCTACGATGGCAAGAGAAACTCGCCTAATTTATCACTTTACAAAATGTTATTTAGGTGTGATTAAGGGTACCTCTCGTAGACGAAGGAACCAGGAGGATTCTTTTTGTTAACAAAAGCTAACAAAACAAAATAAAAAAAAAAATAGAAAGAAAAAACATTGTCTTTGATCTCCTTCTTTCTTTTCAACTTTGTATTCCTTTTACTTTATTCATCTCAACTCTTTGATGATCCAATCAACCGGACGGAACTCGGATTCGTTTAAAATTAACGACAAATTTTTTCTTGAAAAAAAAAAAAAACAAGAAGAACTAGGTTTATCTCGCGGATTTCGGACTACGGAATTCTTCTTTCGGTTAAACGTAACGCGATGAAAAATAATTATTCCCATGTTCGCGAGAGACGTCGTAAATGCCATCGAGAAATGATTTTACGATATTTTCGAAACGGCTGAAAATACAAACAGGATGCGTTCAAAAGTACGACGATGCTTTTATACTTTATTTTCTTTTTTTTTTTCTTTTTTTTTTTTTTTCTTTTTTCCTATATGGTTAAGATCGTTAACTATTCCTGGTGACATATATTCGACATCGATAATATACCACCAAACACGAAAAATCCATTCGAATTTTATTCGTAGCTACTGTTACTTATACCCTCATGGTTTCGTCGTAATAATTTTATAAGGGTTTTAAATCATCCCCCATAACCTTTTTCTTACTCCCCTTGCTTCGCGATTTTACGATCTTTCGTCAGCGTTACCAGATGCTACACCAACGATTAACTTGGCCAAATCTATTTCGCATTTTTAGTGCTTGGCTTTAGCCAAGCGAGAAACACCGGGAATCGACGTTTCTATATATAAAATGATCATTCTGCGGAAATGAAAATCCTAAGAGAAGTCAAAGATTTTCGATTTAACGACAAGATCATTAAACCAACCTATTTGATACTTTGTTACACGTTTATACTAACTTGTTCGCGAAATACTATTCTAACTGTCGTAAGTTTATTGTCAAAGAAGAAAAGAAAGAAAGAGAGAAAGAGAGAGAGAGATCAACACTTGGTAAAATTCCAAAGGCCTCGGGTTGTCTAAGTTAATTAACGTCCTATTAAGATTGACGCGTGACGTCACTTGAATCGTCTTATTTATTACCTTTACGATAGGTATAAATCAAACAGCACGTCGTCGTTGTTCAATCACATGATAACGTGTTTTTTTCCTTCACCGTTAGTACCTTACTTATTTATTTGTAGCTTCTGTATCTCCTCTTTGTACAAATGATTTTTATTAAATATTCACCGAGAATGATCTATATATATATACGTAGTTACCCCAGAATGTTTTTTACGCTAATTAAATGAAATTCTTATGTAGAGGTTTAAAAAAAAAAAAAAGAAAAAGAAACAGGAGTACATGTGGACATAAATTATCAATATAAATTCGATGGCGAGATAATTGAAGATAAAGCGTAGGCGTAATGAACCGAATTCCAGAAAATCCAGTGAAGAATGGAACAAGGGGAGAGAGAGAAGAAGGAATAAGAAAGTAAAAGAAAGAAAAAGACTAATAATGCATCACGGGAGTTGTAGGATTCAGGAATGAACGTGCGGGTTGTTCCTTCTCTCGTCTCTTTCGAGATCTTATAAATCACAGTGATGGTGGTGGTGGTAGGTAGATAGGTAGGTTTCTTTCAAGTTGAGGCCACACGCGTTACAAAATAACTCCTCTGCCGTATGTTCATCCATATTTTTTGGTCTTCTTTGTTCGACAAAAAGTCACCGTGGACAATTGCAGTTACCGTTGACAATGTAAATTTTCCTTTTCTCATTCGAGTCTAATATCGTAAATCATTCTCGAATGAGTTGATGCGAGGAAGGGGTTGAAAACGAGATTTCCTAGGCTCTGTGTTCTTTGAGTTGTGGATGCACGCGTGCTACCTGTCAAATAGATCACTTTTTTTTATATAAATCAGAGAGTGAGAGAGAGATAGATAGAGAAGAAAAAGAAGAAGAAGAAGAAGGAGAGGATAACAAAAATAATAAATAATTCATAGTTTCTCATCGACTTACCTTAATTAGGATTTAAACTATTTTCTATGGCGAGCAACGTGCATCGATCTGTCAGCAATGATACGGACTTCTTACACTTCATTTCCGCTCTAGTAGATTCTTCCTGGTCTAGTTGACATTTTCTTCTCTTCCTTCTACTTTCCTTACCTAAGACAGAAATAATCGTCATCTTTAGCGTCGTCGTCGTCATCGTAGTCGTTGTCGTCGTTTCCCGAGTAAACCCGTACCCAAGGATTTAAATTAGTTACCAGAAAATTGTTTGCGTGGGTTAAGAGATGTGTGACGCAGAACGATGATCCCGATGATCTTGAAGATCTTCGTGATTTATGAGACGTCACGTTTCACCATCTTCTTATTGAAAACGTTCTTTTTTTTTTTTTCTTTTTATTTTTATCATACTCTCGCACAGAGAGAGAGAGAGAGAGATAGATACGTTTACCATTTATTTATAATAAACGATATGCTCTGAAAATAAAATGTAAATGATCGTTTATAACGTTTAATACTTTATGTGATTTTTGTCTATTTTTTTTTCTTAAATATTAATTTTTCATACCCGTTGGGTGGAATCCCACCGATTACGATCGAAGAAGATCCCAACGCATAGATCTTACTGTGCATTTGTACGCCCACGCATACGAGTATCCCACTGTTTGCTTTGCCAATCAAACGTCAAGACTCTAACCGAGAGATTACGTCTCGTCACGCCCAACTCATCGCTAACGTAGCACACACTCCGTTACGAAAGGACTGCTTAGAGTCTTGTCACGTGTAACGAGCCAGACCATGAGCTATCAATTATTGGATATGAGATACTTGTCATTTTTTAAGAGCTAAAAGAAACAAAAAAACAAGAGAGAGAGAGAGAGAGAGAGAGAGAGAAAGAGAAAGATAGATAATATGGAGACACCACTTTAATCTATCGTACATTTAATAAAGTAACTACTCACAATTTTGTTGACATAGCTGCAAGATTGAAAAATGTAGAGAGAGAAAAAAATAAGAATACAAAATGATAGATTTATATTTTTATGGGTACCATCTGTGCAAACAATGAAACCATGCCAAAGGCAACCAAATGTTTAACGAAATGTAGAATTGAATCATTCTAGTCATGCTTCTTAAGTCAAGTTAAGTTGCAACTGACTGCTAATCGTGATTATTAGTAACAGTTAGAAACTCGACATTGCGATCGGTCTTCTTCCTTCCTTCCTTCCTTCCACCTTCTAATACAAAGATAGTGGTGTATCAAAGTAGTTACTTTGATGGAAGTAGAAAAATCGATGATTAATCGGCCGACATGTACACGGAAGGATTTTAAACGCTCGGTAATTTAATATCTCGTATCTCTCTAACTTACATAAATAACCGACATACGTGCGACATTACTTTCTATCTTCGTTTATATAGAAGAGAAAGAGAAAGATAAAGAGAGAGAGAGAGAGAGAGAGAGAGAGAGAGAGAGAGAGAGAGAGAGAGTGGGAGAAAGTAAGTGAGTGTTTTTAGAGGCAGATTGAGATACCTACTCCGTTATAACTTTCGCGAGGGAGGCAACGAATCGCGAATAAGCTCGTCGTTCGACGTCCGGACGAAAATATACCTCTAACTCGGCAATGGACTGTTAATACTAGAACTACCAAACCAGTCTAAATAACTGCTTTTCAAAAATATTCAATAAATATCATCAATAATTATTCACATAAATATATATCATCATTTTTATTTTAGAAGAATTTGTCGTTATTGTTTTCTATCATTTTATTTTATTGCTAATGTTCTAAACAATTTAAGATTTATTCCTTTGTTTCATTTTTTTTCTATTTTATTTTTTAAATATATACTTGTGTATATAATATGTAATTATGCAATAAGAATGTAATATTTCTCGGACGCGAGTTAGAACGAAATTTTGAGAACTTTATTAAATTAATAAGAAATAGAAATATTATATGAGCATGATTCGTTTGGAAATTCCCCTGAATCTCTTTTGCTGTTATATATATTTATTTATTCTATTATTTGGATATATTGCAATAAGTTATTTTGAATTTTCTTTGACACACATTTATTTTTAATGATTATTATATTCTAGATTTAGATATACTGTAACCAATCATTCTGCTTGATATCGGTAGAAATTGTTATATACATTCATTTTTATTAGTTTTAAAGATTTATCGATTTATCTTTCCAGATTTCTGTTCATTTTTTTAAACTCACATATATACCATATTTAAAAATACTTCAAACAATTATTTAAACTAGTCTGGTATATACATTAATAATTATTAATAGTTCTAGAATAAATTTTTTCATATAGATTTATCTAACCATTATTCTTCTTTTCTTTTTCAAAATTACATACGATTGAAAAGTTATTATATCTATAACATAGAAACAATATTATTTTCTACGATCAAATTAACTTTTATTTTATTAATATAGTCTTAAAAAATGTTTCAATTCATCCTCGAGTATCTTAGAAAAACTAAACATACATAATACGTATGTAATTATGACAATGAACTATTAAATATGAAATATTTCGAAGTGTAAAAGTGATCGGAATAATCGGACGTTTCAAAATTATATCAAATTTTTTATGACTTAATCCAATATCATAATTACGAGCACAAACACACATATATCATATATATTAGAAAAAAACGAAACCAGTGATTTTGATTGGTTTAATTAAAAACAAGTATACTTACATTAATTGTCGATAATTCAACCTGAGTAAAATTCTTGTATCTCTTATCCTTAACGTTCCATCCCCCCCTAAACTCGATAATAATTTTCTTAAATAAATTAGAAAAACCGTATTAAATCCGTATCTTCGAAAAATATTCGAAAAGGGGGAAGTAACTCAGCCGATCGAATAACTGAGAAATACGATATCGAGGTAACGCACATGAGACGGATATTAATACGTCGTGCTCGGTGGCACGCGCTGCTGCTGCACCTGGGGATGCGGATTTATGCATGTCCCTCGTTATTAATACTTCAAACGCAATGGGATCATTCCTCAAAGTTGCCGACAAAAAAACTTATTACTTTTTCTCCAGGAATATAAAGAGAAAAAGTGAGAAAAAGTGAGAAAGACAGCACAAAAACAAAAAAACAAATAAAAATAAACCATAACGCCGTGACTTACCAACATTTTTTTACTCGTTCAATTTAATTTACAATTCATCCCCTTATGTTCGGTCTCCGCTTAACGATTGGTCCTTTGAAGAAGAAGAAAGATAACAGGCTGGGGAAACAGGGGGTGGAAAGAAAAAAAGAGAACAGAACGAAATGATAAAACAAATGAAAAAAAAAAGAAACAGAAAAAAGAACGAAGGAATCCATTTTTATTTTTTTTAATAATGCGGGGGAGGGTCGGCCTGTTCCCCTTTGCTGGCGAACTCTACTTAAGCGGCAGCAAAGCGGAAAAAGACACACCCTCGACCAACACTTTATACGACGGATTACGGACGAGTTACTTTTCTTTCTTCGGATTTTCCAACACGCGGAGAATTATTCCTCACGATTGTTTTCATCATCGTACAAATCTATATCGAAGGCAAGCAAACAGACAGCAATCAGGCAAACTAGTCGGGATTACGGGGGCGAGAGGGGGAGGGGGAGTGCTTGAGGCTGGGGGTTGGAAAGAACAATCAGGAAGATAAAAGAGAGGGAGAATTCATGCACGCGAAAATAGAGTAAAAGAATGGAAACCATCGGATACGGGGGAAAGGATGAGATGGGGAGGGGGTGGGAGGGGAGGGGGGTGGACAAAGCGAGCATTAATTTATCTCTGAACAACGAGACTGAATTCTAACGATGGTCGAATGAACGAACGAACGAACGCCCGTAACAATGGCGGATCCAATGTGCCAAGTCCCCCCCCCATCTCTGCCTCCCACCCTCCCGTTTACTCCCCCTCCTATACGTCTATCTAATATCTCACATTGTTAACTTAGCTCAGAAATTATACGATTCGAGCGAATCAATTCGCTATTTAATTAACATCTCACGCGTACACGTAGATGCATACACGCGCATAACCAGATTCGACTTTTAA